GTATTAGATGGTAGTAAGTACTAAGGAGAAGGAAACAGGAAGTTTTACCATGAAGTACACAAGATAAAACAGGGTGGGAAAAGAAGCCCTCCATGAGGAGGAGGCATTTGTGCAAAGAATGGAAGGAAACGAGAGCGTGATCTCTGAGAATATCTGAAGAGTGAGAATAAGAGTTTTTTAAGAGAAGTCAGAGAGGTAAGGGGAAGCGGGTGACAATGTGGGACCTCTGAGGACATTGTGATGATTTGGCTTCACTAAGATTCAAATGGGAAGCTATTGAAGGCTTGGAGCAGAAGAGTGACATAACCTGATTTACCCCTTTTTAAGAATAATGGTTTCTGGGCAGAGAATAGACTGAGGGTGAGCAAGAGTGGAAGCTGAAGTCAGATTGGGTGGCTATTGCAATAACCCAGATAAGAAATGATGGTAGTTTGGGCCAGTGTGAGCAGTGGAGGAGGTGAGAAGTAATTAGATTTGGGATATATTTTGAAGGTAGAGTTAACAAGATTTGCTGAAGAATTGAATGTGGGGATGTAAGAGAAAGACATGACTCAAGTAGTACTGTCGGTTTTGGGCCCAAGCATCTGGAAGAATTTGGTTGTAGTTGACTGACATGAGGAGGATGTGGTTGGAACAGGTTCCTAGGGGAGGACTGGGAGCTCAGAAGAGAGAAGGAACAACAGCCCAGTGGGCTCGCAGCTCATCGAATGACAATGTCTATGCTACTGGATGGATTGATGTCAGCAGGAGGGAGATCCTGAGAGTGTTTGAAGGGATCTGTGCACTGACCTGTCTTTTTATTAATGATGGGGGTCATTTTGCCATTGACACAATGCTTGATACAAGCTGATAGATATTGGGTGACAAGACTGAGTCCCAGGATAGATGAAATAAAGCTAAACAAACACAAAGTCTTGCAAATTTCTAGTGTTCAAGCAACATCTATTTGAGGAATAGCATTGTTGTTAAAAGCATATTGATTGTGGTCAAACAGATTTGGTCCAAAATCTCAACCTTCCCCTTCTTAGTCCTGTCCCCTTGCTTAGTCAAATAACTTCCCTATTTATAAAATGGCACAGTAATGCCTTGCTCAAAGGATTGTTATGAAAATGAAATAATATAATAAAGTACTTACACGGCCTAGGATGTAATAAGTAGTTGGCAAATACGATGTTTTATTTTCAAAGACCTCTATTTCTATCATTTATTATTATTTTTTTAATTAGGCATTAGCAAAAATTGGAGTTTGGGGTGGGCTTTTAAGAGCCTCTTGAAATAATATTAGGACTAGAGGTTTTCTAGTAGCTGAAACATGATTTCCCCAGAACATGTTTCCTTGTCAGCCTCTAATCTCACCTGAAAATGTTAGCCTTCTTCTCTTTATCTTTCCAACTTCTGCTTTCAGTTCTTTCTGCCATAAGATTAATAACCTATTTTATGGTGTGTTTTTTAAATTTTATTGGGGAACAGTGTGTTTTTCCAGAACCCATCAGCTCCAAGTAAAGTAGCTGTTTCAATCTAGTTGTGGAGGGCACAACTCAGTGGCCCATGTGGGTATCGAACCGGCAACCTTGGTTTTATGTGCACTGCACTCTAACCACCTGAGCTAACCGGCCGCCCCTATTTTATGTTTTCTATCATATTTTAAGTCATCCTGTTATAATATTTGTTTATAATTTTCCCCCTTTATCTGACATCTTGGACACTTTCTAGGGCTTTTAATACTATTTTTCTCATATTTTATACTGAGGTATTTACATATGATAAAATTCACCAATTTTAATTTTACAATTTAATGAGTCTTGACAAGTGTATATACCATAAAAAATCAGAACTTTTGGGCCTACGCTTTTAAAGCCTTTCAGTTGAAAATAATTGTGTTTCTTAACCTGTTTATAAATGACAAACTGAAAAATCCATTATATCTTTTACTTGTCTTCCTTTTGTCCTTTAAATAAGATAAAATGTTGGCAGTAAATGAAGAACTTGCCAAGAATAAATTTGATTTCAGGATACTTAGGGCTCTGCCAGTAACTGCTGTTGAGAATCAGGGTACTAATTTATCTTCTTAGTCTTCGTCTTCTGGTTTGTTTCCTTGTAATGCTAATATGTTTTGAATCAGGGCATGCTTGAAGAATGGTGAGATGGGAGAGGCGAGTGGTGAGGAGGTGGTAAGACCAGTTGGCACAAGGAACATCAAAACTCTCTTATTTCATTCCTTAAATAGCATAATTACATGTAAATGAGGCCCAGTACTGCAAATTAATTGCTTAAAGCACAAAATAAAATTGTAACTGTTAGGAAATTATTTGAAAAAGAGACATAATACGCCATAGTCATTATGTTTTCTGAATAGTTACATGACAATGCTTCTGAATGCTTGTTTAATATTAATGAAGATTTCTAGATATGGAAGAAAAAAAGCCGCCTCAGAACACTATTGGCAAGATGTCCCCACTGAGCCACTCAAATTTACCATGGTCCTGGATCTAACCCTCAGCTATACTGACTGGGAAACTGGATTTGGAGAGAATGCAGAGAATGGGGCTTGTATTGCTGTTAGGTCTGCTTTAACTAAGAGATGGGATGGTTTTAGATGCGATAAAATAGGAAAAGAGAGAGCGCTTAATGGGGCTAGAAAAAGATTTTTTTTTTAATTACAGCTAAGACCTGAAAAATGTGGTTTTCTAGAAACCAAATTTCTGCTACAGTCATGCTCTAGCTCACAGGATTCCCTACTGATCAGAAAGCCTTTTAGTTTTCTCTGGCTGAAACATCAGGGCCCCAGATTTTACTAACAAAGATATGATAGTGACTTAAAAATACTTACAGGTTAAACACGAAAAGCATTAGACAGAATTTTCAGATGGAGAGAATTGCATACTTTAGCTCTTATATTTGTTTTTGCATTTTGTTACATTTATGTATTGAATCTATGTTCAGTCACTTCCATCTCAGTCTTCAGAACGATCCTGTGACAGAGGTACAAATGTCTCACTCCTTCTTTTATAGCTGAGAAAACTGAGGTTCAGAGAGTTTCAGTGACTGGCCAGAGGTTACACAGTTAGAAAATGGCAGAGCCAGAATTCAGGTCAACCATGTCTGACCCCAAAGCCTATGTTTTAACCACTCCAACCCACTGCCTCTAATAGCAGAGAGGCATAGGATACTTAAACAAGTATCTTGAGAAGTTTTCACCATTAAGCTTAGAGTTGAAAGCATTGGTGTTTTCAGTGAATTTGTCTCTGACAATCTAATTAAGGTCAAGGATTTTGAAAATAGCCCCTCAGGTCTTTCCTATTCTATAGTTCTGTGACATTATTTTAGTTGTTTGATTCCAAATAAAAAGAGATGATAAAAAGTTGCCCTTTTACATTTGTTAAGAATCACATTTAGTGAAGCTATTACAGTATTACTCATGCAAGTCTATAGGATTTGAAAAAAACCTTTTCTCCCATTTTAGGCCATTTCAGGAATAAAATCATAATGGGTTTTGGAATTTATGCCTTAATATATGTTTAGACACAGGATATATTTTATAAAATTAATTCCATAAAGAAATCTTAATGACATCATCAGAGCCATTTCTATAGTTATTATCTGACACTGGATTTGATTGTAAAGAACTTCTGTGTATATATCCAGTCATTTCTTACACAATGCAGCGTGTATTTACTTGGCTAAAAGCTAATCTAGTCATAAATATGAAATAAATCATTCAGAATAAATAAGTTGCAAAATATATTGAAAGAAAAAGTGTATGTTTAAGTACATTTTTAATGTACATTAAGTACATTCAGGTCTTAGCTGTGATTATTAAACAAATACATGTTAGTGGTTGTTTATAACTTGCTTTTCTTATAAACGTAACTTACTAAAATATATTCTTACACTCATATGGTAAAATATTATTTTAACTTTGTTTTCATGTGTAATTGAAAATAATGATTAAGAATTGGTGCAAATTAACTGACCAACACAAGGATAGTAAACAGTTACTCTGGCTTACTTATATTTCTACTTTTTAAAGCTATACATAAACATAATAGAGAAAATGCATTTCGTACATGTGAAACATGTGGCTGCAACTATTTTGTATTAATATTAATTTAGATTTCCTCCTTAACCTAGTCTTTATTTAAAAAAAGTTTAAATCAGAAAACTGAGACAAAATCCTGTACTAGTTCTGGTGTTAACTAAAATCAGTTTGTGTAGATCAGCTTTCTATCACAAAGCTCGTCTTGCCTTGTCCCCAGGTGATAGTTGCATACAAAATAAGAAAATCCGAAGGTTCTTCTTTTCTGGGCCTTCTCTTTCATTGAAAGTAAATTTCTCTTTTGAAGTCATATGCGGCAGAGGCGAGGACGGGGGTTCTGGAGCCCGCTGGCCTGAGTTTGAATCCCAGCACTGCCACTTGCTGACTGCGAGACCTGTGGCACATGCCGTGTCTCATTTTCCTCATGGGGATGACACTTGCAGTAGATGTCTCATAGGATTGCCATGAGGATAAGATATTTCTAGTGCCTAAGATGCAGAAAGCACTGTACAAATAGTCATTGTTATTATACCACCTAAGTTTTATTCAATGGCCATGTTATTGAAGTATAATGTATATGCAACAAAGAACTCATATTGTAAGTGTTCAGCTTACTGAAATTGTATAAGCTGAACAATCCTATGTAACCAGCACATAAATCATGAAACTGGTACCTTAAAAGTCCTCTTCAGTCCCCTTCTAGCTACTACCCGTCTCTAAGGGTAACCAACATCCTGACTTCTGATTAGTTTCATTAATGACTATTTGTTAAACGTTGATATTGCAGCAATTGATAAGGGATCTAGTGTAACAGCATTTTATTTTATTTTGATTTAATATCTAAGACAAAACTACTTGCTGACTAATCTTTTAATATTTATAATAATAAATATATTGCATATAAATAGAATATATAGTATAGTATGACAATAAAATATAATATTTTAATGTATTTGGTTTATAGGTTGAAAAAGCTCCTTGAACAAGAAAAAGCTTACCAAGCCCGCAAAGAAAAGGAAAATGCTAAGCGGCTCAATAAACTAAGAGATGAGCTGGTAAAACTCAAGTCCTTTGCACTCATGCTGGTAGATGAAAGACAAATGCATATTGAGCAACTTGGCCTGCAAAGCCAGAAAGTACAGGATCTTACTCAGAAACTGAGGGAAGAAGAAGAAAAGCTCAAAGCCATTACTGCCAAATCCAAAGAAGACAGGCAGAAATTACTCAAGTTAGAAGTGGATTTTGAACACAAGGCTTCAAGGTTTTCCCAAGAGCATGAAGAGATGAATGCTAAATTGGCTAATCAAGAATCTCACAACAGGCAACTTCGACTCAAGCTGGTGGGCTTAACTCAGAGAATAGAGGAGCTAGAGGAGACCAACAAAAATCTCCAAAAGGCAGAGGAAGAACTTCAGGAATTAAGAGATAAAATTGCCAAAGGGGAATGTGGCAACTCCAGCCTCATGGCAGAAGTCGAAAATCTCCGGAAGCGCGTGCTTGAGATGGAGGGTAAAGATGAGGAGATCACGAAAACGGAATCCCAGTGCAGGGAATTGAGGAAGAAGCTGCAAGAGGAAGAACATCATAGCAGGGAGCTCAGACTTGAAGTTGAGAAGTTACAGAAGAGAATGTCGGAGCTGGAGAAATTGGAAGAGGCATTTAGCAAAAGTAAATCTGAGTGCACCCAGCTACATTTAAATCTGGAGAGAGAGAAGAACTTAACTAAAGATCTGCTAAATGAATTGGAAGTGGTCAAGAGTCGAGTTAAAGAGCTGGAATGTTCTGAAAGTAGACTGGAAAAGGCTGAATTAAGCCTAAAAGATGATCTTACAAAGTTGAAGTCATTTACCGTGATGCTGGTTGATGAAAGGAAAAATATGATGGAAAAAATAAAGCAAGAAGAGAGAAAAGTGGATGGGCTCAATAAAAATTTTAAGGTGGAACAAGGAAAGGTTATGGATGTAACTGAAAAGCTAATCGAAGAAAGTAAGAAGCTTTTAAAGCTGAAATCTGAAATGGAGGAAAAAGTATACAATTTGACAAAAGAGAGAGATGAGTTGATAGGCAAATTGAAAAGTGAAGAAGAAAAATCGTCTGAATTAAGTTGCAGTGTTGACTTATTAAAGAAGAGACTTGATGGAATAGAGGAAGTGGAAAGAGAAATAACAAGAGGAAGGTCTCGAAAAGGAACCGAGCTCACTTGCCCAGAAGATAACAAGATTAAGGAACTAACACTTGAAATCGAGAGACTGAAGAAACGTCTCAAGCAACTGGAGGTGGTCGAAGGGGATTTGATGAAGACGGAGGATGAGTATGATCAGCTGGAGCAGAAATTTAGAACTGAGCAGGATAAGGCTAACTTTCTCTCTCAACAACTGGAGGAGATAAAGCACCAAATCGCCAAGAATAAAGCCATAGAGAAAGGTGAGGCTGTGAGCCAGGAAGCTGAGTTGAGACACAGATTTCGGTTGGAAGAGGCTAAAAGCCGGGACTTAAAAGCTGAAGTGCAAGCTCTTAAAGAGAAGATTCATGAATTAATGAACAAAGAAGATCAGCTTTCTCAGCTCCAAGTGGATTATTCTGTCCTTCAACAAAGATTTATGGAAGAAGAAAATAAGAACAAAAACATGGGACAGGAGGTCCTCAATCTGACCAAAGAGTTGGAGCTTTCTAAGCGTTATAGCCGAGCTCTGAGACCCAGTATGAATGGAAGAAGAATGGTAGATATACCTGTGACATCGACTGGAGTACAAACTGATGTTGTCAGTAGTGAGGCAGCAGAGGAAGAAACACCAGCAGTATTTATACGAAAATCCTTTCAAGAAGAAAATCATATCATGAGTAATCTTCGACAGGTGGGATTGAAAAAGCCTATGGAACGATCCTCTGTCCTAGACAGGTATCCTCCAGCAGCCAATGAGCTCACTATGAGAAAGTCTTGGATTCCATGGATGAGAAAAAGGGAAAATGGGCCCTCAATCACTCAGGAGAAAGGGCCTCGAACAAATTCCAGTCCAGGGCACCCAGGAGAGCTGGTTCTTTCTCCAAAGCAGGGCCAGCCCCTGCATATTCGAGTGACACCAGATCATGAGAACAGTACTGCGACTTTGGAGATAACAAGCCCAACATCTGAAGAGTTTTTTTCTAGTACCACGGTCATTCCTACATTAGGGAATCAGAAACCAAGGATAACCATTATTCCATCACCAAACGTTATGTCTCAAAAATCAAAAAGTGGAGATAGTACTCTAGGCACAGAAAGAGCCATGTCCCCAGTCACAATTACCACATATTCCAGAGAGAAGAACCCAGACAGTGGAAGAGGTGCATTTGCAGACAGGCCCACATCCCCCATTCAGATAATGACAGTGTCTACATCAGCAGCTCCGGCTGAGATTGCAGTCTCTCCTGAATCCCAGGAAATGCCCATGGGAAGGACTGTCCTCAAAGTCACCCCAGAAAAACAGACTGTTCCAACTCCAGTACGGAAATACAACTCCAATGCCAATATCATAACCACAGAAGACAATAAAATTCACATTCACTTAGGTTCTCAGTTTAAACGATCCCCTGGGACTTCAGCTGAAGGAGCAAGTCCAGTCATTACTGTCCGACCTGTCAACGTGACAGCTGAAAAGGAGGTTTCCACAGGCACTGTCCTTCGCTCTCCCAGGAACCACCTCTCGTCACGACCTGGTGCGAACAAAGTGACAAGCACTATCACCATAACACCAGTCACAACCTCATCTACTCGAGGAACCCAGTCAGTGGTGAGTAGAAGAGGTTCCAAAGTGCAGGCTGACAGAGGGAGGAAGGAGTAGTGAGAATAACACAATGCCCCAAATAAAGTAAAAAGCATATGCCTCTTGCTCCACCTGAACCCACTAGCAGAGGTTTCTTAGAGGACTAGTCACACCAAGAAATGAAAACGAAAAGTGGCTTAATGTTTTAATAAATTGAGCTAATTTTGAGGGAAAATTTTTTTCATGTAAGTTATGGAGACCCCAAAAATACTTGCAAAGATGGCCTTGTTGTAATGTCAGCATGTAGTGATAATGTTTAAAATTTGCTTTTTATGTTTAAAATAGTTTTTAAAATGGAGACTGGGGGGAAATGGTCAATATGCAAGAAAAAGTAAAACCGTTCCTGGGTTATATTTCTATAACCTAAACTATTCAATATGTGATCATGTGTGGCCATAGTCATACTTTATTCCAAAAAAATGAGATTAAAATATTTTAATATTAAGAACTTGTTTTGAAAGTAAAAAAGAAGTGAGTTTACATGTCTAAACATTATTATTTATTAATAGTATCTTGCAGAGAGCAGGTGCTTGATAAATATTTAATAACCAGGTGGAAAGCTAAATGAATGATTGTAAATAAGCATGTCTAAAGTATAAAAAGCCAGAACTTAAAAATAAATTATATTTTTCAAAACACTTCCAGCGATTGTCTTCATTTATTGGAGACAGATTAGTAAATGAAATTATAGAAGAGTTTGTACTATTTAGGTATTAATTTAAACTAATAGACTAGAAATTATGCTTCTTAGACTCTGAACAAATTCTGCAGCATATGTTGGAAACTCTTAAAAAAGACAAGAAGCTTATTATTGAAGTATAGAAACTATGGCTTATTTTCCCATATCTTCAATATAATTTACTTTAATTCTCTGGGTACAAATATAGACTCAAAAAGTGTGAACTACTAATTGCTTTGCCAGTGAAACTTTTCATTATTGGCTCTACCAGGGCCAAATAGCACTCAGAATTGCTCACCCTTCTAAAATGGTTCAATATTGCTTTTTAGGCAACAGACAGCAAGAGCTTGAATTTCTATAAAAAGGCAGAGGAGGTAGACGTTGTAACTTAGAGCAGCTTTTCCTGCTGAACATCTTATTACCATTTTAAGGGTCAGATCAAGATAGCCTTACCTTCTGTGGCAACATTTTTGACTACTGATTAAACCCCATACATTAATAGGATTTCAAAGCAGCTAAGATTTCTAAGGCCTGAATAATGGCCCACCTACACCATCAGATCCCATAAAAGCTAAGACAACAAAAAGTTTGGGATATCCCTCTTAGAAATCAAATAGCGAGGCTAGTTCATTTGTGCATTTATTCATTCAACATTTATTGAGTGTTAGCTGCTCTTTAGGCACTGGATTAGATGATGACCACAAAGGACATTTGGAAGTTCTCAGCTAAGTAGGAGGCTCAAGATTGGAACCTACCTAGTGGTTCCACGGTAGAGGTATGTACAGAGGAGCCACCAGAGAAGGCTTCACAGAAGAGGAACTTTTCACAGAGAAGGAGGAATTTTCGAGAAGGAAAAAGGAAGGAGTGTATAAAGAGAGCAGCGTGTGCAAAGTTATGGCCGTGTGAAGGAGCGTGGCATATTTGGGGAAGGGTGAACAGTCCCTCTGTGCTGCAGCAGTTGGGCATGGAGGCAAAATGAAAGGCAAACTGGGGGCAGGTATTAAAGAGAGACACATGTCTTATTGGAATATTGACATTTAATCTCATAGAGTATCAAAAGGGAGCCTTGAAAAGGGTAATGATGATTTAAAAAACATTGCATTATTTATGTTTTAGAAAGATATGTCTACAAAACAGTTTAAAGAATAAATTGGGCCGGCCGAGTGGCTCATTGGTTAAGAGCTGGCTTGGGACGCCAGGGGGCCCCGGTTCGGATCCCACATGTGAGGGCCAGTGACACTGCCCTCTACAGCTAAGATGCTGAACAACAGCTCAACTTGGAGTTGGGCTGCTGTGAGTCGCGGCGTAGGCTGCAACCCCTGCTGTAGTGGGTTGCCATGGGCTACCGTATGTAGCCAGCAGCCAGCGTGAGTGGCCAGCAGCCACTGTGAGTGCTGTCCAGAAGCTGGCGACTGATCTGCCTCGCCCGGGAAGAGCGCAATGATGGTGTCAACTTGGGCCAGTGAAGAACATCCTCCACAACTAGACTGAAGAACAAAACGACAGCAACTTGTCTGTTCCCCTTCCCCCAATTTCCCAGCGCTGTTCCAATTCCCCAATAAAAATAAATAAATAAATAAATAATTGGAGGGGACAAAGGCTGAGGACAGGGATACTGTTGCATTTTTCTGGCTAGAGATGGTGTAGTGCAAATGGGGGCAGAGATATATTGAAGACAGAATCAAAGATTTCATGACAAATTGAGTATGGAGGGTGGCTCTCAGGTTTCTGGTTTGGCTGTACGGACGAATAGGATGAGAAACATAGGGGACTACTGTTTGGGGGAGAAGATAAGTAATGTTTGGGACATGTTATATTTGAGATACCTGAGGGACGCTGGAAATGTCTAGCAAGTAGTTGGAAGTCAGGATCTGTATTTAAGGAGGAGAGCATTGAAGGCTTGAGGTACCGGGACTCATCAACACATGGGGTGATAACTGAGGTGATTCTCAGGATGAAAGAGAAAAATCAAAAGAGGGCTGAGAATGCAATATGAGGTCACCCACATTTAGCAGGCAGGCAAGCTAGAACAAGGAGCCAGCAAGAGATTGAAAAGGAGTCATCAGAGACAGGCTGTGAATGGGTGAGACTCAGGTAAGAAATCCCAGCAAAAGAGTTTTAGGAGCACTTCAAGGAGGGTGTGGTCATCAGTGACAATAAAAAAATGAGAAGACACTGGCATCCTTAGGATGTGAAAGGAGAGCTGCTTCGTATTAAGAAAGAGGAGATAATTTGGGGTACAATTAAATTACCTGAGTTTATGTGAGGCGGCCTGTATTTTCTCTGTGAAATAGGCGGTAAGGTCCTTCCTCTTCAGTAAGGGTAGAGGAGGTAGGTTAGGGGCTTGAGAAGAGGAGGAAGTTTGGAATACGTTTTCAGGCAAGAAGAAAGGGGAGCAATTAGAGTGGATCGGGTACCGTGAAGACTTCAAGTTTCTAATAGGAATTTTATCTGGGGAGGGCCTGCCTGTGGCTGCTCCTGTGTGGCAAGAGTCCTAACTCTCGGATGGATGGCATATCCAGTCGTAAACTCACCACCGTTTCCCTTGTGTTTCTGTATTTTCTGTCTTACAGTCAGGACAAGATGGGTCATCCCAGCGGCCTACACCCACCCGCATTCCTATGTCAAAAGGTATGAAAGCAGGAAAGCCAGTAGTGGCAGCCCCAGGAGCAGGAAATCTGACCAAACTCGAGCCTCGAGCTGAGACTCAGTCTATGAAAATAGAGCTGAAGAAATCTGCAGCCGGCAGCACTACCTCTCTTGGAGGGGGGAAGGGCTGAGGGCAGTGGCTGAGGGGGTATGTTGTGCAGATGCTACTGCTATAGTGAAAACAAACCTTCGTTTTTTTTCGTGCCAACTCTTTACATGTACTAATTGAAGTTTTAAGTATCTTGTTTATAAAATAATGTACTAATAGCCATGTGTCTTTCCTATTTTGTGAATTTGTTTTGATGCGGGGGAACAGAACTAACTAGCAAAAGTACTGTTTGCTGTGTGCTTGGTTGAGGATGCTGGGCTTGAGGTAGGACCTGACTTCTAGTCCCAGTTTTGCATCTAGAAAGTGGACCCATCAGTTAACTCATCTGAACCGCAGTTTCTTTGTCAATAAGACAGAGGAGCTGGATCACATCCTCCCCGAAGCCAGCTCTCATAATTGTGAATCAAATTTAGTAGGCCTTGTTCCACAATAATTGATTTTTCAAAAATTCTATTAAGAAATAGGAAATAGTTTAACTACTGTCATTTGCCTCTATCAAATCCCAAATTTGCTTTATGTGCTGGAAGAAACACCTCCTAGCTATCAAAGGGCCTGGACCTCTACAGTTTTGCAAAAACAAAAGCCTCTGACATGATTTCAGGAAATAATGTGAATGTGAAATAAAATGGAAATGAAATATGGACTCCTAAAAACAGAGTTTTACTTTTTTGTGTGTGTCTGTGTGTACTGTAGAGGTTTTGGCCATTTCCAAAACATTCCCAGAATTTCATAGACAATAATTTTAGAACCATTAATGTCAGACTCATACTCTATTCAAGTGTACAATTGATTTAAATTGTGGAGCAATTTGAATAGAGCTGCCAAATGTCTCTTGATAGCTCAACAGAGGTTGTAATGGATAGGAAATAGCAGAAACTAAATTCTGATACGTTAATGCCAAGAAAAAAGATGACATCATGCATAGTTTCATTGAATTCAAATATTTTCCTCAGTTAACTGTGGACTTTACTTGCAAATATAAAACTGGTTCATGATTTTGTGTGTGTGTGTGTGTGTGTGTGTGTGTGTGAGATGTGGAGTATCATTCCTGTTTTACTTGTGTTTGTATCATTTTCATTAATTTTAAGCATGTTTTAATCTGCATGAAACTGTGTGAGTGCAGAAAGCCAGGTGTCTTTGTGAAGATTAACCATGTTCAAGGAGACACTGCTTCATAGTCAAATAACAACAGATGAGCTCAAGGCTGATAACCTGTAGCATAGCACATGAGGTCTTCTGGAGGCAGCACCTTTGTCAAAAATTTTCAATCAGTTGGGTGAACTTTACAAAAACAGAATAACCACAAAATTACAGGTTGTTATTTTTCCACTTATGAATTATGAGGGTTCCAAAATTATTTGGATAGTCACTACTCTTGACATTTGGAAAAAGATAGATTTAAAGAAAACCATATATGATTAGTTTTTAGCCCGTGATTCATCATGCTTCATGATAAAGAGGTTTTTAAAATTTCTTTCCACACTGGAGTTCCTATCCCTTGCAGAACTTGGACTTGAATTGTACATGATGGGGGTAGATGCCTCACAGTATTCACCTCTGTTGCCTACGGCTCATCAGTTCTCAGCATATGTACTAAAAAAAATACTGAGCAACCATGGTAGACATGGCATAATAATAGGATTTCAAGGTAGAAGGAGAGAGACTGAGAATGAAGACGTTATGAAATATGATTTTGAACAAGTTTAAACGAGAGATCTTGCCATTTCTAATACTGAGTTGTATTTTTTTTAAGGAATTTTGCCCCTTCTGTAAAGTGGACATTCATCCCTTTCAAAAGCAAGAACAGTCTCTGCCATTTAGGGTATTTAGTGTTACTGTACCATAACATACTGGATTTAAGCATATGAAGGTGTCAAAAGTATGACACATTGCATTCCTTTTGATTTCACCTGCCATTTTTCAGTAACTTCTATCATAATCTCATTGTCACTGTTGCTGGTTTTGCTTTGACCTGCTCACACCAGGCTTACGTCTTTTCGTCCTAGAAATCCATACCATCCGCAGGGAGAGTGTTCCGAAAGACTTAACTGCATGTACAGGATGTTTATACATCTGTCTTGGAACAGAGCCACCTACAAAGTACAACTGCTAAGAAAACTTGGCAGAACAACACATATTCACTTTGCAGAAATGATAAAGAACAACCGCCATGGCCGTTTTTCTCTGTAATTTTAGAACCAACTCTACATTTATTGGATATCTGTGTTCTAAACTACATATTAGAAATGAAATCCACTGGGAATAAGAGGTGGGGGATTAAATCCACTCCAATTCCAGCTTCCATTTGTGAGTATAATGTTTTTAAGATGCAGTTTAATGTGCTTTTATAAGTGAATGGGATTAAAAGGTTAGTCTTTTCCCTGTCCTGAAACATAGTATTGTGTAGTAAAATAAAAAGGGTTTCCCCAGAGATGCTGTGTGTAGCTGTTGCTCAGGTCCCACTCTGGGAAACAAAGTGGGTTGCCGTTTCCACAGATTTCAATGTCATGGTGCTCCCAGGAGGTGTGACGTACAGGGCACAGTCTGCACAACTGCAGAGGAGGCCCTGGTCTTCCCCTCTTGAGAATAATCTTTGTGTGCTTACCATTTCAGCACACTACGATGGTGTCCATTTAGCATGCATGTTACCAGAAATGATCCTATATGGGACACGGCCCTACAGGTATTTATCATTTCTTGAAAATGATCTTCCTGCTTAAACAGAGTCATTCAGTTTCTACTGGCATTTTTATCAGATTTTTAGTGAGGACAGGTAATGGGTGACAATTTGGCTCTCTAGAGATTTTAGTATATTCATTCAGGGTATAGCGTTACCAGATTTCTTACTTAAGTATCTTCAAGAAGGGAGTGAAGAAATAGCTTTGATGTGTGCCGTGGGATGAATATAATTTCAGGGAAATGAAAACATGTCCATGAATGTAAAATGTACAGAGATTTGAATTTCTCATTCTCTCATAGATTCAGAATACTGGGGAAGGAATGAGACTTTCCTGATTGGGAAAATCCCAGGGATATCAGATAGGAAGAACATGTTTATATGGGAGGCTGGAGGGCAGAAGAGAAAGAGGTAACAAGATGAGTACAGAGAGTGTTTCCCAGTAAACAAGATTGTATGATTCCAAAATTTCCCCAACCCAGATGAAATTTAGTGTTTACCTCCTACCTCCTCACCCAGGTCTCCTCATTGGTTATCTCCTCATTCTCTGCTCTTTCAACTTCCCCCTTTCACCTGTTACCTCTACACAGGATGTAAATATGCTCTGGCCTCTTCCATTTTAGTACAATTCTTCCTTTAATTGTACAGTCCTCTATAGCTACTGCCCCATCTCCTTCCTGCCCAGTTAAACTATCGACAGAACACTCAAACTTTTGTGCCTCCACTTCCATACTTTTCATTTATTCCTTAATTACCTTTTATTCTTGTTAATTTGTATACATAGCTAAAATAGAAGCCAGTGCTAAACAGACAATGAAAACATCTGTTCCTTACCCCACCCTCCTTTTCCCTCAATTTTGCTGCCTGGAGAAAATCATTTCTAATTTTTAACTGTTTCTTCTGGTATTTACCTTTATATTTCTAAATAATATACTTGTACTCTGTCTTTTTATTTATCAGTTTTAGATATGATTTTTTTGTCTCCCCATTATTGTTTTGATGGTTGAGGATTTAGTCCTGTCACATGTCCTCTTTTTCCTTTTCCCCATCCTTCCAATATGATTACATCACACATTTTTTTTGTAAATAATCAGTCAGCATTTGCATGTTTATATATATATATATGTTTACAATGTATATTGTTCCCGGTGAAGCCAAGTGGTATACTATGATTTTGTTGCCTTCTTCTTACCACTTTTCCTCTTCAAAAGAATACTTGCTTCAATTTTTTATCTGCTTGGTTTTTTTATGTATCTATCTTTATTTTTCCAAATGCTCCAATAGATCTGCCAAACACCTACCAGTAATTTTTTCAAATACTTAAAAACACATCAGTTTCATATTTTTTCTTGGGGGTCCTCTTAGTTCAGCCCTATGCTTCCCTATCAAGTCTGGACTACTTGTCGTCTAGGCCTGCTGTACAATTGTTATCCTGTTGTCTTTTTGCCTATGTTGAATCCTTGGTTCCCTGGATTATTTTTTTTTAATCTCTACTTCTTTTGCTTAACAGTCTGTCTTTATCTCTATCTATCTATCTATCTATCTATCTATCTATCTATCTATCTATCTATCTATACCTATTTACCTACCTTTCGAAGTATATCTTCCAGTACTTTTTACAGAGAAAGTAACCTCTTCAGTAACCTCTCTGAGGCAAGCTACCTGTATTTTGGGAATAGATCAGGGGGAGATGGAGAATCCTACAGTTCAGCATGTCAGCTTTTCACTCCCCTGTATTCAGTCTATGTTGCCCATTCTTATACCTAGTTCCACAACTTCTTAGGTCAGTTTTTTCAGAAAATGAACTTCAAGTCTAATCTCTGGTAAGGGTGAAAGTAGAGGGAGGTTAAGCCTGTCTCCCTCTGTGACCAAGCCACCTAATTTCCTTTGGTTTTCCTTTGACTTCTCTGACTGCTCCACCCATTTCCCTTGCTGGCTCCTTATTTTAGGCATACATCATAAGTGTTGTTCACCTTGCCTCTATCAAAAGCCATTTTCCAACACTATGTGCTCATTCTGGTTATTTCATGCACTCCCATGGCTTTAATTATCACCCATATGCTGATGACCAACAAACTGCTATCTCCAACTCACTTTGTCTAAAAGCCATTCTCAACACCTTCTCCATCCTTCTTCTCAGGTTTCTTCTCTTATTACTCTCCACCTTAGCAGGGTTGTCTTGATCTACCCAAACCACCTGAACTAGAAACCTGGTAGCCATTTTAGGCTCCCCCTTCTCCCTCATCCATCAAGTAGATCCATTCAACAAGTCTCATAACCCCCTAACGCCTCTAGCCACTGAACTCACATCTCTGTTTCCTCTACCACTGCCTGAGTTGAGGTTTTAATTACTTGTCATCTG